GATAGGAATCCAGCCTGGCTTCCTGTCTACGACACCCATCCAGTTTCCTTGGAAAGTATCCTTGTGGATATTGGTTGAGGAAAGAATTGGACTTTGTTCCTCCACAAACAAACAGCCAACTGCCACTCACTAGCCAGGCTCACTCGTGAAAGGCGGCCACTTGGGTGAGATAAGAGAGGACTTCTGGTGTCTGCAGATGGTCGTTCAGTATGAGGCAGCTTCAGGTCAAGGGGTGGGAAGAGAATTAAGTTGAAAAAAATAAATTGTACATTAAAAAGTACTGAAAAATAACATTAAAATCATATTTCTTTACTCCGTTTGCAGAATCAACAGCGACCAAGCAACGAGTCCACCTTATTCTAATGTTACCATTGTGGACTACTGCCATGGCAATGTTCCAGTAACTACACATGAAAACGACCCCAATATGACTCCTCTGAATCTCTCCAAAAAAGGTAAAAACAGTGCCGTTGAAGAAGAAAAGGAGGGCAGAAACATTATTAAGAATGCCTTACAATACAGGAGTGAAAGTTGTGCATTGCAAATGGAAACCCAAGTGCAAGATATGCCCCTAAATCTTTCAGTCAAAACTCTGTACAAGAATGGATGGCAAACGCCCGAAAATTCCAGTCAACAACGAGCAGACGTTGAATCAAGGACTCAGCTTAAGTGCACGTCAGGCTCACCTGATAGTGCCGTGGAAGAACTGAACAGTGGCAAGGATCACCAAAGAGCGAGTGAACGCAAAGGGACGAGAGAAAGACAAGTGGACAGCACCACGCAAGCGATAAATGTAGCCAAAAGTGCAAAGAGCTGCAATGACGAACATAAGCAGTCAGCTGCTGTGGCTCTGTGCCAATTAGCTGTGTGCGGCAATGGCAAGTTCAGCAACGAACTGACTGCATCACGCACTGACCTTTCTGGTATTGAGCAGCCCAGCTATGAAAACAAGTTCCTGTGCTCATCCCCTCCACCCCACAAAACCGAGAAAGAACACAAATCGCGGAATCCGAAAAGGTCGCACAGCAAGGAAGTGAATAAACCCCAAGCAGAGGCAAAGCATGCAAAGAGTAATGACTGTGGCAGGATATTCAACTTGAGAAAGAGACCAAGAGTTGCGTAAGAAGGGACAAGCATCTCTAATTTAAAGAAACAAAAATTAGGCTGAGCAAATTACTGAACAGTGCAAGATTGATAATAATGTTGAGATTCTAGATTTCAAAGCCTGGATTAGTTATGTTATGTCTAACACACACCCTAAGAATTGGGTGTGTGCATCCTATTATTCTTTGATTGTCAGCCCACTGCAAATGAGATTCTATACACTATATGTGGGTGTTGGTTAAGAGCTATAAATTACAGTGCAACAGAAAATAGTCTGCATAAACAAGAGGAAAGATCAGTAATGTCCCAGCGGATATGAAGGTATTGCTCAATACAGCACAAAGACATACTAATAAGGTTAGAAGTTCAATCATGTTCTGTGCTGAGTCAGGTTTTTCAGCTAGGGAAGGTATTTTTGGAGGTTACAGTTGTACTCAACACCACTGGGCAGAAAAGTGGAATGGTGGGGGGAAAAAGACTGCCATGGTCCCTTTCCTAATCACTATCTGTGATGCTCTCAGTAAACAAATAAGCTGCCAAATAGCCACTCGGGTGAGATATGGGAGGACTGACCGGGTGAAGGGAAGAATAAGTACTTTCGGGAGAGCAGGGGGAAACAATCAGTAAAAACAATCTGATATTTAGCACTGATTTGATCCATTGCTCATTCGACTGTTCCAACATTTTCTAGAAGAGACTGAAATACAAGTTAGAATTTATCCTGCAATAAGTATCTATATAACACTCCCTTCATTTCTAATCATTTTGTTTTGTAAAGCACTTTGAGACATTTGTTTATATGTGAAATGCGCTGTATATATGTTGCTATTATTTTTTATTATCTTAAAATTTGTAATTGGCCCTTATTGTTTCTCTTTTCCAATATGACTGTCAATTTCCAAACTCCAAAATTAGGTGCAGTCAGTTCTTTGACGTCTAAAGTTTGCTTCACCATGGCTACCTCACTTGAACCAAAGTACTGTAATAAAAACTATCTTTGCTTTTCAAACCTCCGAAATAGAACCTGTGCTCAATGTCTTGTGGTTCCTTTGCAGCTTCCAGAATAAAAACTATACGTGTGAACCTCTAAATAAAAAGCATTAACAGGAAAATAAAGTAGATAGAAAGGAAAGTCTTAACAGGAAAGAATATGATCGGGTCAAAGTAAAAGAACATCATAAAAACAGAAGTCGCTGGGAACTCAGACAACAGTTCAGACAACATCTATGGAGCGAGGGAAGTGAGTTAACATTTCAGGGTATCTACCCACTGGCTCCCCATCCCTCAGAGGATCGAGTTCAAAATTCTCATCATCACCTTCAAGGCCCTTCACGGCCTTGCCCCCTCCTACCTCTCTGACCTGCTAACCGCTTAACAACCCATCCGCTCCCATTGCTCAGCAAGCTAAGGCCTGCTCCATGTCCCCCACCAATCCCACCCCACCATCGGCGATCGGGCCTCCAGCCTCTCTGCCCTAACCCTCTGGAACTCCTTCCCACATTCCCTTTGCCTCGCTCTCTCTCTTGCCTCCTACAAGGCATGCCTCAAGACTGTCCTCTTCGACAGTGCTTTCAGCCACCCTACTACCCTTTGCCCACCATCCTCTTGATTTCCCCCCACCCGGCACCCACTCGGGTCCTAATCCCTGACTGTTCAGCATCTTGGGACGTCCTCCCAACGTGAAAGGCGCTTTACAAATGTAATTTTGTATTGCATTATCAGCATCTGCAGTATTTTGCCTTAAACCTACATCATACTGACTGACAAATTCATTTTAAGCAAGTAATCCCTGCTTACCAAAGCTTCAATTATCACCTCAAAACATCTCAACGTCAGAATTATGAATTCATTTTTCGGATGGATGTTACATATGATAAATCAGGTAAGAACCTAAAAACCAATGATAAATCAAGTGACAAACATCTAATTCCTACTGATGAGGAAGCAAACAAAATCAGAATTTTTGCATTCCTAAACTTCTTTTTTTTTAAAAAAAAATAAGCCTTTTCGCCAATTTGGATGCTCATCCCCATCTAGCCTCTCACCTTGTCCCTCAATCCACCACAAAATACTGTCACTATACTTCACTGTATATCCCGTGAAACGTTTTGAGACATCCTTTGACATGAAATGCACCATATCAAATGCAAGGATTATTCATCCCTTCTCTGTAAGTAACACATCTGGTTGCATTCTTGAAACCATTTACACTGTAATATACTAATAATCCTTGCATTTGATATAGCGCCTTATCACTTTGTTGAAGACGTCCCAAAGTGCTTCACAGAATAGATCATAATGTTGATTTTGTGGGACAAACGCGACAGCCAATTGCACACAGCAGTGGCCCACAAACAGTAGATTGAGTGACCATTTTGTTTTGGAGCGAGTACTGACTATTCCTTGACATTTATTCCAGACATTTGTTACTCTTAAAAAAAAGTAGCAGTTGACTTCCCATGACTAACTTTCTTTAAACTTTTGTGCCTGTTAATTTGAGCCCTTGATTTACCAACATCTGCTTTGCCGATGAGCTTCATAATCTTCCTATGTGCAAGTGGGGTGCATATTTGGAACTATCAAGTCTGGTTTGGACACTCTGATGTACAGCGATGGGTTTCCATAGGTGTCAGACACTCAGCTGACGAGAGAGAGAGAGAGAGAGAGAGAGAAAGAAATTCCAACCACAATGGATGAGTATCCCTTCTCAGGCTGTCAGTGGACCAAATCCTTCCCTACAATCATCTTGTAGTTATTTGTCACAGGTACTGAGGCCAGACCGACATCAGTCAGCTGTTTTGTCATGGTACACTGTCACTCACTTCCAGCTGCAAACAAGTAGTTCAGTATTTTTTTNCAGAAACAAATTATAATCTGACACCGTGTTGTGTAAATAGCGAATCTGGCAGCTTGTTCATAATATGCTACAGAGCATTAAGACTCCAGCTACAGGAGCTCCACACATGCACGAGTTTGTGCAATCACAGTCCTGTGTTTTGCCTGCAGCAAGTGTAATTTGCTGACGGCAACCTGACCGGAACCCTTGCCCTTCCCTGCAGGTCCAGCACCTGCACCCTGCAGTGTAGCCCCATGTAAAAAAAATATTAACACAATACATGGTCAAATAAATTCAGTGATATTGTGAGGGTTTTTAATACTCAGAAAAAATTAAACAAAGATATTAAAGGTGAGTACTATGTAGGGCTTCATATATTGGGAGTATTGAACACAAGTGCAAGAAGATAATTAACTTGTACAAGATATTAGTTGGGTCACAGTTGGACTGTATCCAGTTCTGGCTTCACTTCCAACGCAGCCGAAATCTTCACCCACAGCTTTGTCACTGCCAGCCTCGACTTCTTCAATCCCCTGCTCACTGGCTCCCCTAACTCCACCCTTCAAAACTCTGCAGCCTGTATTTTCAGCCACACTAAGCTCCTTGAGGCATATCATTCCCATTCCCACCCAGTTACACCCTATCCTCCAGCAGACTAACTTTAAGATCCTAGTTCTTACATTTAAATGCCTCTAAGACCTTGCCCCGCCCTACTCTGCAATCTTCGGTAATCATACTCCACCTCATACTCCCTTCGCTCAGCCAACACCTGGCAGCTTGCTTCATGTGCTCGCCCACTCCACTCCAACATTGACGGGCTGGGAAGTGGGATTGATATTAATTGCTCTATTCAAAGAGCCAGCACAGACTCGATGGGCCAAATGGCCTCTTTTTGTGCTGTACAATTCTATGATTCTATGAAATATTTCTTGATATCTGTCCACCCTTTGTCTTGATGGATCATAACACATTAAATGTATAATTTCTACACAGTACAAATATGGGTGTGTGCGGTTGTTAGTTAATATTTCCAGCAATCCTTCACCTGCATATTACGTACCATCAGGAAGTCGGGAAGGGAGTAAAAGTCCTCTTCTGCCCAGCTCGGCCAACGCAAGGCACCCACCATGCCATGCAGTGTCAGTTTCCTGAAAACTGTAAGAGCAAAAATAATTTCAGGTGTCTGCAGCCCGAAAAAGAGCACACTGGGCACAAACTGAACCCTCAAGACCAAGCAAACAAGTCACCATTGCATGCTTTTACCTCCCACTGAAAGGATAATGTTATGGTGACATTTGCCAATCCATGACAATGATAATAGTGCCGATTCTTTATTTATAGTCAAGCAAAGCTCAGCAAAACAATCTTGAAGCAGCTTCGGATAAGACAGAACAAAGAAAACGCACACCCTCCTTTTTACATATTCTACAAACATTATTGACATTCTACGGTGATTCTTACTATGTGAGAATACACAAACAGAATAGTAGATTTCTGACCAGATAATCCTTTAATGCTGATTGACTGCCTCCCCCACCCCCCTTCAGACGCGCTGAGGATAAATAAAGCACTTGATGGCTGCCCAAACTGAGGTTCACTAGCTAAACTACAGGAATTGAGATATTCTTATCTACTTCGGGTTTCCTTCTACCCCCATTGGGGGAGCTAACGTGTCTTATCGGTTAAAGAAACCGATGTAATAGGTACGATGAAAAAACAGCTCCCCCACCTCCTCCATACATTTTAAGAGCAAAGCTCGTCCCTCTCTACTCCTCTCAAATTAAATAAACTTTACAGAAAGTAAAATGGCTCCTGAGTCAGAGTTTAAATGGAATCTTGTAGCTCAATGGTTAGAGCACTCGCCTCGCAAGCAAGAGACCTGGGTTCGATTCCCGGCAGGGCAAAACATTGGGCAAGATTTTTGATTCTATGAAGTTTCCTTACTCCACGTGCCCCTGTTCACCCAGCATTACAAGATGCTATATCAAATTATTATCTCCAAAGACAAATAATCAGATATGCACACAGCAAATTATAAACACCTTTTCCTTCCTGAACAAGTTGCTTAATCTAAAATGTTGTCCAAACGTTACTTAATCCAAAAGAGCTGGAATTACAGATAAGCATCATCCAAAAGAATTGTGTAATCCTTTTTTCCCCGATTTTAGGTATTTGCGTCCAGTTAGGCGAGTTTATTGATGCCTCCGGCTGCTTAATCTTGTTTTTAATTTCTGATGAAAGGCGGTTTCACTTCACGGTGACCCTTGCTTGTCACGCTAATAAAACCACCAGCAGTTGTATAAAATCAGCTCATGTTTTGGGAATTTTCAGACTTGAAGCAACAACAACTTGCAAGTATACAAGGTATATAAGTGTACATAGCACCCTCCACGCAGGGTAGTGTCACTTAAAACTGTCAGAGCCTGACTCCGAGCCAGCAAGGTGGGGGGGGGGTAGAGGTGGCCGTAAGCATGGACGAAGAGGAAGTTTTTCGGGAGGACGTGAAAAAGGGGAGAGGGGGCAAGCTTGGAGGGGTTGAGGGAGAGTGTTACAGATTTTTGGGTGTGGTGGCTGAGAGAGCAATCTCCGATGGTGGGGTAGAGGGCGCGATGGACGAGCAGGGAACTGGTGCCAGTCGAGCGGAGGCACTGGGTGATGGATTAGGGAGTGAGGAGGTTGGAGAGGTAGGGAGGTGCCAGGGAGTAAAGGGATTTGAACACGAGTGTGAGGATCTTGAAGTTGATCCATTCGATGATGGGGAGCCAGTGGAGCCTGGGCCAGAACTGGTGAGATGTGGCTACGGAGTTTCGTCCGGGTCAGTATACGGGCAGCAGAGTTCTGAATGAGCTTGATTTTTTGAATAGTAGAGCTGGAGAGACTGGGAGTAATCCAAGCGGTAAGTGACAAACTTAGGGTTAGGGTGCGCATGCACATGGGTTTCGGCTGCATTTGGGGTAAGGTATGGTGGGAGGCGGGCAATGTGGCGGAGGTGGAAGAAGGCGGTCCTGGTCAGGAATCGGATGTAGGGGAAGAACCTGGGGGTCGAACTAGATGCCTAGATTGCGCACTGGTTCGGTGATTCTGAGAGAGAGAGAGCCCAGGGAGATTGAGGAGTTCAGATCCGCAGGAGTGAAGACGTTGACAGGAGCCAATGGCTTCCATCTTGTCCACATTCAGGAAGTTTACACTTATCCAGGCCATGATGTCTGCCAGACAATCTGATAGAACATCGGAGGACCTAAAGTTGGTACTGGAGGAGGCAAAGTAAATTTGTATGTCATCCGCATACATGTGGAAGTTTACGGATGATATAGCCCAGAGGGAGCATATGGATAAGGAAAAGAAGAGGGCCAAGGATGGAGTCCTGGGGTTCTCCACAGATGACCAGGTGGGGCCGAAAGGAGAAACCATTTGCTGAGATGAAATCGAGGCAGTTGGTTAAGTAGGACTCGAACCATGCAAGTGCGGTCCCACTAAGGTGAATGAGCAAGAGGTTGTGTAGGAGGATGGCGTGGTCAACTGTGTCGAACGTGGCAAAGAGATCCAGGAGGACGAGGAGGCAGAAGGAGCCCTGGTCACAGATAAGAGAGGACATCGTCTGTGACTTTGACAAGCGCTCTCCCTGTGTTGTGGGCAGTCAGGGCGAAAACCAGACTACAAGGGGGGCTCGAGGAGGGAGTGGAGGAAGCGGTGTGTCCAAAGTTGACTTGCAACAACTGTGTGGCCATGTCAGCCAGCAGGGGGGAGAGGAGGGGGAGTTGAGTGGCCAGCAGCTGGGTGGGGAGGTGGTTGAGGCAGCAACAACAACAACAACAAGATTCCATTTATAAAGCGCCTTTCACGTCAGGAGGACGTCCCAAGGCGCTGCACAGGTGGTAGCTGAGGCAGGTGGTGAATTTCATCTGGGTGATTGTGGGAAAGGGAACAGGGAGAAATGGGACCAAAGGAGCGTAAGAAGGAGGGAGTGGCAGGAGCTGTGGTGAGGGAGAAGGCATTGTGGATGGTTTGGGCGGGGTGGAAGGTGACACGGAGGAAGGTGCAGCCAAGCGGATGTTTTCATCCCAAGCAGAGCAACTACATTGCTGAGAAAGTAAACATAAGTTCCATTTTGGAACCTACAACTGGGTGCCCAAGATGAAGCCCATTTTAATGAAAAAAAACCTTGCACTTGTTAACAATCTAACCGACAAACCAACAATTAGTTCATCCTGAGACCCTGATTAGAAATTGGACAGCTCTCCAGTCCCCGAGTCACTCACTAGCGCAGAAGTAAAACAAAGGCGGGGGGGATGAAAACAATACTTTTTTGACTGCACATTTCCATGTCCTATACCAGTACTAGTTGACTGCTCAATGAGGCCCTGGTCTCTGTGACCTTCTTAGCCAGGAGGTAGGTGGCACACCAGGGAGAATTAGCTACTTCAACACGGATTTAGAATTAATTGAGTTATTTAAGATTGTTTTTTATCTAAGCAAAATGAATAATTTTGAATGCAGCCACATGAACCACAATGGTCTTTTCCGGTCCCTCATATTCTACAGTACTCATTTCTCATTCTCCTCCTTTACCTTGTAATCTCAAACTATAGTGGGGCCAAAGAGTGGTTTTTCCAATTGTCATCTCTGCTATTCCAAAACAAAGATTACTGTGGAGTCCTGTAGCTCAGTGGTTAGAGCACTCGCTTTGCAAGTGAGAGACCTGAGTTCAATCCCAGGCAGAGGGTGAAACCTTGGGCAAGTTTCCTTACTCCACACAGAGCCTAATAATAATCCCTCCAAAAACAAAAAACAATAATAAATTGGTCATTTTCAATCTACGACTGTTTGTGGGACATTGCTGTGCGCAATTGGCTGCCGCGTTCGCCCACAAATATACAGTCAATTCACTTTGCAGTGTGTTCTGTGAAGCGCTTTGGGACGTCCTCTCGACGTGAAAAGCGCTATATCAAATGCAAGGATTATTATTATTATTATTATTATTATTATCTCTGCCAATGATATATTATAGCTCTGTTTGACAAGAGTACTGAGAAAACACATCTCTTGTTCGCATAGAAACAGGAGTAGGCTATTCAGCCCCTCAAGCCTGTTCTGTCATTCAGAACTCTGCAGCTCGTGTACTGTCCCGCACCAGGCTTCGGGACCACATCACTCCCACCCTCGCTCGCCTCCACTGGCTCCCCATCCCCCAGAGGATTGATTTCAAGATCCTCATCCTCACCTACAAGGCCATTCACGGCCTCGCTCCCTCCTACCTCTCCAACCTACTATCCCCCTACCTACCTGCCCGTACCCTCCGTTCCTCCGGCTCCGGTCTGCGACACGTCCCCCGCCCCAATCGCCCTACCATCGGTGGTCGGGCTTTCAGCCTCTCAGCCCCGAGGCTCTGGAACTCCATCCCCCAGTGCCTTCGCCGCTTCCTCCCTTTCCTCCTTCAAGGCCGGTCTCAAAACCTTTCTCTTTGACCGAGCCTTCAGCTCTCCTCTCGACTCTCTACCCCCTCCTCGCTCCCTCCCTTCCCTCCCCTCACCCTGACCATTTCTCCCCTCCTCGCTCCCTCCCTTCCCTCCCCTCACCCTGACCATTTCCCCCCTGCTCGGGTCATGACCCAACTGTGCAGCGCCTTGGGACGTCCTCCTGACGTGAAAGGCGCTTTATAAATGGAATCTTGTTGTTGTTGTTGTCTTGATGTTCTGCCATTCTATAAGATCGTGGCTGATCTGTACCTCAAGTCCAGTTACCCGCCCTTGTCCCATATCCCTTAATACCCTGACATAACAAGTATCTATCCACCTCAGTCTTGAAAACAGGAATGAATCCAGCATCCACAGCCCTATGGGGGGGAGAGAGTTCCAGATTTCCACTACCCCTTGGGTGAAAAACTATCTCCTGATTTCACTCCTAAATGGCCTAGTTCTCATTTTAAGATTATACCCCCTTGTTCTGGGGGCATGTGAAAAGTGAACTGTAAGATGATGTTTGCCTGTACCCATCCTGAGCATCTAAAGCTATGTGGCAATACTTTATATCTGCCCCATTGTCTTCCCAATATAGAATCAAACTGTTCATGAAATTAATCAAATGCTCTGGCTTCTACTATACCCCCCCCCCCCCCCCCGGTAAAGGTACAGGTGTTTCCTGCACTTGTGTCTTGAAATTTTCCTGCACAACCATAAACCAGGGGCCTCTTTCTAGCTACCTCTTCTGCACTAAGACGTGCCCCCAAACGTAGCCCAAATAAAATGGGAAAACATAACCATTACCTGAAGCATTCAAGCACAGAAACAACCACATCATCTGCAAGTTCTTTAGGAAGTCTTCCAGTCACTCTTCCTATCCTATCAAGCAATAAAGGGAAATCACATGTCTCAAAATCAAATTTGTGGTTTTAACTTTTATTTATTAACTTATCAACAGTCAAGTGAAAATACCAAACTTGAAAAAGTGCAGCTACTGTAAAGCACCAAGAACAATATTAAAGCAAGATATTGGAGTAATAACTTTAGAAAACTTTAGAAAATAACTTACGATTTGCTTACTAAGTAGATGACTAGACCTGCAGGTATGTCTATATACGTATACTTTCGTCCACAAAATACACAATCAATTCACTTATAGTATATTCTGTGAAACGCTTTGAGTTGTCTCAATGACCCGATAAATGCAAAAAATGTAAGCAAAGTAGCAATACTATGCAATTGCCAATTTCTGTAGGCAGGATCTCCAACTCTGTAATATTGTATAAAGTAATCCATATCATCCCTTAAAATAGGGTGCCCAAAATTACGTGCAGTATTCCGGTCACCCTAATAATGATTCAGAGTCAACATATTTTATATATATTATTCAGCAGCTGTGTAGCATTACTGTTATTCAAAATATTGTTCTCCAAATATAATCTTTCAAGGAACTGAGTCAGTCTCTGTTTCAGATGATAATGAACTCTCACACCTTCTACTTTCTCTATTGTGAGTTTATTCAGAATGTCAGGACGATAAAGAACATTTTTTACAACTATTTTACGATTGGTATTCCTGTAAAACTAGTTGTAGCTGAAGGAGTTAACAGCCAAAACTACAACAACAAATATTTAATAAATCTTGAAGAAGTCTCTGCAAATAATATCCCCAAAAACATTATTCAGTCACTTATCCAATATTTCTCTACAGGTGTGCTTTGTTTTTTAAGCTCTGAGAACATTTTACATGTAGCTATGTGAGAACAACAGTGAGAATCATGTGAGAACAAACTATGCAATAGTCAAAATGCTCACATTCATATCCTCAACTGTTGTATGGCTTCCACCCACTCACCATTCCCTGCCCCAAAATATATTTGGACCTTTTTTTCAAATTATAACATGTGATATAAGTGGAAATATAACTAATGTATGGTTGGGCTTTCGAGTTCAACTTACCCCTTTGCTGCAGACCACCTGACTATAGTATCCTTGTCTTTCAACCCAAATAGCAGTTGTTCTGTAACAAATCCACAAAAACGTCAATACCAGACAGATGCAATGCACGTCCATTATGCCATTCCATCAATTTTGTTAACCATCAACTTCCACCCACTACAGACTAGAAAGTCCTGAACACTGGCAAAGCAGTTTCTCTCTCTACTGCAAAGGGAAGAGATTTTGCACAAAGATTCAAGTACAGTGCACTTGCTCTCACTGTAAATACTTGCAAGTCTAGACTTTAAGCATTATCTGGTTTTCTTCAGTAAGTGGTGAACACTTCTAACACGGAGACACGTAAAAACATTAGGATTGGGGTAATTACGTTAGATTGAGGCTATAAAAAATAATAATCCTTGCATTTGATAGAGCGCTTTTCACATCTTCTAGACGTCTCAAATCGCTTCACAGAATATACTGTAAAGTAAATTGACTGTATATTTTCTGGGAGAAATGCGGCAGCCAATTGCATACAGCCGGGGATTGTAATGTGTACTCATTACAATCTCAATTAAGGCTCAGAGACAAGAGGCAAGATTTTACAATGGAGGGCAGGGGAAAAGAGGAAGAACAGTTTAAACCAGAGATGGGTCTAAGAGTTAGTTCAGGATGAGGCAACCTGTACAAACTGCTCATTTACCTATGATGTTTTCCATCTCCGTGGGGATATCGTAATCAACATCGTCATCCTCCTCCTCCTCCGCTCTTTCTTCCACATTCTTCGTCGCTGAGGAGTTAGTGGTTTCTATCTGGCCTGTCACTTGCAAGTTCAGAGCTAAAGACCTGCTCCCACGTTGGTATCTTAAATGGGGAAGTAGGGGTTTGGGGGAAAAAACATTGCAGAAATAAAGTGGAATTCAAGTAGATAGCCTCCCGCCTCTCTGACATCAGTGGTAGGGAAAATTCTTGAGTCCTTAATTAAGGATGTTGTTATGGGATTCCTGGAAGACCATAACAAGATTAGGCGGAGTCAACATGGCTTTACAAAAGGGAAGTCATCCTTAACTAATATTTAGAGTTTTTTGAAGATGTATCTGCAGGTTAGATAGTTTATTTAGATTTTAAAAAGGCATTTGACAAAGTGCCACACAAAAGACTATTGCACAAGGTCAAGGCCCAGGGGATTAAGGGGAACATATTAGCATGGATTGAAAAGTGGCTAACGGGTAGAAAACAGAGAGTAGGGATAAACGGGTCATTCTTGAATTGTCAGGATGTGACTAGTGGAGTGCCACAAAGATCAGTGCTGGGCCTCAGCTATTTACAATTTACATCAATGATCTAGACGAGGACATTAAATGTAACGTATCTAAATTCGCGGATGACACTAAACTCGGTGGGAGAGTAAGCTCTGAGGATGATGCAAAAAGATTGCAACGGGATATAGATAGGGGAGTGAGCGAGTAGGTGGCAGATGGAATTTAATGTGGGGAAGTGTGAAGTTATTCACCCCGGTAGCAAAAATAGAAAAACAGATTATTTTCTGGAGGGGGAGAGATTCGATAGTGTTAGTGTCAGAGGGATTTGGGTGTCCTTGTACACCAGTCTCAAAAAGTTAGTTTGTAGGTGCAGCAGCAACTAAGAAGGCGAACGGCATGTTAGTGTTCATTGCAAAAGGTTTAGAGTACAAGAGTAGGGAAGTCTTGCTGCAACTGTATAGGGCCTTGGTGAGACCGCACCGAGAGTATTGTGTGCAGTTCTGGTCTCCTTATTTATAAAAGGACATACTTGCCCTCGAGGGGGTGCAGCGTAGATTCACTGGGTTAGTTCCTGGGATGAGGGGACTGACCTATGAGGATAGGCTGAATAAACTAGGACTGTATTCTCTAGAGTACAGAAGAATTAGGGGAGCTCTTATTGAAATACATAAGATTCTTAAAGGGCTGATAAAGTAGACACTGAGGGTCTGTTTCCCCTGGTAGGAGAATCTATAACCAGGGGTCACAGTCTTAAAATGAAGGGTCAGCCTTTTAGAACAGAGTTGAGGAAACATTTCTTCACTCAGAGGGTAATTAATTTATGGAATTCACTCCCCCAGAAGGCTGTAGATGCTCAGTCCCTGAACATCTTCAAGGCTGAGACTGATATATTTTTCAAAAAACAGAGGGATTAGGGGATATGGGGACAGGGCGGGTAATTAGAGTTAGGTCTGAAGATCAGCCATGATTTTATCGAATAGCGGGGCAGGCTTGAGGGGCCGAATGGCCGACTCCTGCTCCTAATTCTTATGTTCTCTCTCCCCCTCTCCCAATCAGTCGCAGAGTTCACTATCTGCAGCGGCAGGAGCCAGCAGTTGGTAAGGACGCAGTGGATAAGGTGTCGCCCTTGCTTTCTCCTCAGCTCGGGAACACACTGCAGTAATGGCCGGCGTTATTTCTACTCTCTGCGTTGCATCCTCCCAACCGCTAGCTCCTGCCCCTGCCATGAGAGGGCATTCACCAAGCAGGGAGGGAGGAAGCGGAAGTTAGAATCTTAGAAATAGTCTGACAGGATCAAATTATCCGCTGGGCCACCTATTGGACATGCTGATGTACACTAAAACAAAATTGGTATTCTCACATGGATCAAAAGTACATCTGAACTTTAGGGTAGCTTTCACTAACACATTGTGAATAAATAATTTGAAGAAGAATATAAACAACCGTGATAAAGAGCATGGAATTGGGATTAGAGTACATGCAATGGATAAGAGCAAGCCAGTCTCAACTGAGCAAAGTACTGTGAAAGGACCCAGTGCTAAAAGCTCAAGCTGCTTATACAATGGTCACAATAGTTTGCAAATGTGGATGGATTTATGAAGATTTAAGATTTATGCTCTATGCATAAAATATGTAATTTTAAAATCTAAAATCCAGTTTGCTACAACAGGTAGGATGTCTCACGATACAAGAAAACAATTGTTCTGCTCAAAAGGTTACTTCAAATTTCTTGGGACATTGTCTTGCATTCAGTGCAAGAACGGCAACAAGTTCATTTACATTCACATCATCAAAGCAGGTTCAAAAATAAGACGTTGCTTCTGAGGAACTATAGACACAAACCCATGTTGAATGACTTCTTGCTACCACTGCTGTGTCAATCTGCTATATCAACGAGCCATGCCCTTTGAACTAAATACCTTTAAATAGGCTCTGGAACTCTATCCCCCAGTGCCTTTGCCTTGCCTCCTCCCTTTCCTCCTTCAAGGCCGGTCTCAAGACCTTTCTCTTTGACTGTGCCTTCAGCTCCCCTCTCGACTCTCTACCCCCTCCTCGCTCCCTCCCCTTACCCTGACCATTTCCCCCTTGCTCGGGTCCTGACCCAACTGTACAGCGCCTTGGGACATCCTCCCGACGTGAAAGGCACTCAATAAATGGAATCTTGTTGTTGTTGTTAAAACAACTGATGTTGCCACTTACTTGAACTCTGCTTACCTCCATTTGGCAATCTTTGGCTTCAGAAACGTGAGCCCCAATCTCTGAACAAGTTTTATCCCCATCTTGCGGAGAATGGTGTGGTCACACTCAGAGACTCGGCATTCATCGAGGCACTTCAGCACAATGGGAGCTGGAGAGGAATCCGACCTTTAGCAATGAGTCTTTACAACATTCATTCAAATGCAAACCATGAAACACACCATCTCAAGAATCATTGATTAGTGATTCTGGTTTATATAAACCGGGCATAGATGTGTCAGATATTCACCAGCAAATGTCATTAGCTCACATGCAGATGCTCTCTTCACATTTAAGAACAATTCTACAAGATATTAACTTAGACAAAATCACCTTACAGACTCTAATAAATAGCTTAAATCAACTGTAGAAATATTGGGCAGCAATAATTTTTTTTGAATATAGACTAGTGCCAATTTACACAGAAACACAAAACAACAGACACAGTGCCCTATTCTTTATGGGTGTGTGATTTTAAAATGTACACTGAATCCAATATGGCTCAGAGATTCCTGCCAGTAACCAGATGAGCGTCACTCTGATCTGGGGGACCATCACTCCGAAAAGTTGCTTGGGTCAAAGCGGAAGTCTCAAAGGTTAAGTGAGGCACTTCCAGTAAGTAGCAGGAGTCGCTAACGCATTAAAAAATGTTTTAACCCCAATGATAACAGGGTCAAAAGCTTTGCTACTCATTTTATTTAAAATGATGCATGTAAAGTAGTAAATTTGCTACCATACCAAAGGGTAAAAAATCATCTCTTTTCCCATGCTTGAACAGCTGAGCCTGTGAGAGTAAAGGAGAGACAAATGTTAATACTAAGTTAACTCATTTAGACGCTTTTCTAAACACTTTACATTAATATGTAAAAATACATATTAATATGTAAAAATACATATTAATAATAGTAATAATCCTTGCATCTAATGTAGCATCTTATCACATCTTCCAAGACATCTCAAAGCGCTTCACAGAATGTACTGTAAAGTGGAGTGACTGTATATTTTCTGGGCGAAACACAGCAGCTAATTGCGAAGCTAGCATTCTGCAGGCATTTCATCAATTCAGTTAATAACACAAACATATAGACATATCACAGTCCTTGAAGGAGGTAATGACTTGTCAAGAATTGCTCTCACAAATGTCAAGACAGTTTTTCTTGGGGGGGGGGGGGAGAATGCTGTCAGAGTAACATTATTCTAAAGACAGCGAGGCTGTTTAGTCTGCAGCACATCAAGCACATTTTACAAGTAGCAGTACTGCCAGTTGCTGAGCAACAAGAAACAAAGCAGAGTCAATCTTTTGCACCGTTGACACCATCTGAACTACAAGAGGAAGAAATACAAGGTGCTGTCATCTCCCTCCCATCTCTCCCAATAAAAAAGTGTTGAAATGGAATAGAATTGATATATGGAATTGTTCTGGTATAGACTAGCTTTGAAACTTTGCACTTTTCTTTCACTACATTTGTACATTGCATTTAGATTTTCATGGGGGGTTTGGAAAGTTAGTAAATAACTAACTTAGTTAGTAGGCACAGTGATTTAGAACACTAACACTAGATTATTTCAAGTACCCAAGCTCCATCACCAATGGCTGATTAATGCACAGAACATCAAGTTAAGGGAAAATTGGACAATCCAATGTGGAGGATTGCTCACCATTTTCATTACTATACATTCAAGTAACAGATGGACAAAAGGTATAGAAAAGATTACAGCTTTTGTTGCTCAAAAGATACTGACATTACAAAGGGCATGTTTGAATTCACAATGAAGATCTGCCGCCGAGTGGAGAATATTGGGAACAATGTACGGAGATGTAAACGATGCCTTAAGCCACATTGTAAGATGCAATGAGGGCAACTAAGGTAAACAGCTGGCAAGAGTTCAGTGTGGGCTCCAGGTAAAATGCAAGTCCATACATAAGAGCTTACATCGTTGAGCATCAATCATGGTGCATTTATTTCAATATAATGAATCATATTGTATAAAATGTGGCTAAAGAGAACATCAGCGAGTAAAGACAAACTGCTTAGTACAATGAGTTGCAGCTGCTTAACCTGTAAGATCCAAGTTTCAATGCAGCCCAGCCTGATGGAATCAACGATGACTGTGTGAATCACAATTATACACCATCAACATCATACAGTATCACCAGAGCCAGTCTAACCTTATACAGCTCATTCTCACTTCTGCAGCAGTGGGTGCTCTTCTGAGGTTGGAGTTCAATAGGGCTCAATAGAGGGAAACATTGCATCTGTGGCCATTCTTTATCTGCACTTGTAGTTTCATGCTTAGTGTCGAAGGAATGGAAAGTAAGGTGGTCTGCTCGACAAATTTTCTAGAAGTGAAACAGACTCTCTTGCCAATCTGCACCGAATACTTTTGGTAAGTAGGTAAGCAGTAAGCAGGGAGAGAGTGTGCATTCCATTCTAACAATCTATTTCCATCTGTAGGTGGGATGCATCGAAACCTCAGCTTGGTTTGGATACTCATAAGTGTGGTGATGGGTTTTCGGATGGGCAAAAAAATGGAAGTGGAACAGGATATATTGTCCGATTTCAAACAAGAGCACTAAAAACCCAAATTAGATTGATGTATTGTTCAATCAATTGATACTAATATGTTGTAATTCCTAGCAAGTTGTCAGGACAAAGTGATTGATAATCCCACTAGCTTTAAAGATGAACATTCATATTTTAAGTTTTATTTTAAACTGCTTGCTCTTACTTTTTATATATTTTTGTAGCTGACTGAAACCAGCCTTTGTTGTGACGCTAATCCGAAACAAGGAAACACAAAACGGCCCACAAGTAAAGGTTCCAAAACATACTCAACAAGTCTAACACCACCAGGACAACGTTACCACAAAATGTCTGTTTTCTTGTCACTGTGAATCTCAACCTGTTATACAAAAAACAGTTGAAACAGTAAAAGATCGAGGTCAAAACAGGAATGTGCACTTCTTCATTGGATTTTAATATTTAAAATATTCTTTGATGTTGAGAAAATCTCCATAGATGCGGGGAATTCTTAGTTGCTTGGTCTGGAAAGTCTGAAGCATATGAATGCATCAGACAACCAGTTTGGATACACTTAAGCAGGGTAACTGTTTTCCACATGTGTCATACACCACCCAACTGACCAGAAGAAAAACAAAACATTGTAATTGAATTGTTTCTACTTAACTTACCACGGTTGAACACAATTTGTGACACCAATCACTTCAGGTTTAACACTGATGTGTGCTCCCTTTTGTGAATAAACTGTATTATCATAGACAAGTATCTACTTCATAGATTCATACAGCACAAAAAGAGGCCATTCGGCCCATCGAGTCTGTGCCGGTTCTTTGAAAAGAGCAATGTAATGTCAATCCCACTCCCCGGCCCTTTGCCCATAACCTGCAAACCCGTCCTCCTCAAATACCCGTCCACCGCGTTTTTAAAAGTTGTTATCGAATCGACCTCCACCGCCCTTTAAGAACATAAGAATTAGGAGCAGGAGTCGGCCATTCGGCCCCTCGAGCTGCCCCGCCATTCGATAAGATCATGGCTGATCTTCAGACCTAACTCTAATTACCCGCCCTGTCCCCATATCCCCTAATCCCTCTGTTTTTTAAAAATCTATCAGTCTCAGCCTTGAAGATGTTCAGGGACTGAGCATCTACAGCCTTCTGGGGGAGTGAATTCCATAAAGTCACTATCCTCTGAGTGAAGAAATGTTTCCTCAACTCTGTTCCAAAAGGCTGACCCTTAATTTTCAGACTGTGACCCCTGGTTATAGATTCTCCCACCGGGGAAACAGACCCTCAGTGACTACTTTATCAGTCCTTTAAGAATCTTATATGTTTCAATAAGATCTCCCCTAATTCTTCTGTACTATAGAGAGTACAGCCCAAGTTTATTCAGCCTATCCTCATAGGTCAGACCCCTCATCCCAGGAACTAACCGAGTGAATCCACGCTGCACCCCCTCGAGGGCAAGTATGTCCTTTTATAAATAAGGAGACCAGAACTGCACACAATACTCTCGGTGCGGTCTCACCAAAGCCCTATACAGTTGCAGCAAGACTTCCCTACTCTTGTACTCTAAACCTTTTGCAATGAACGCTAACATGCCGTTCGCCTTCTTAGTTGCTGCTGCACCTGCAAACTAACTTTTTGAGACTGGTGTACAAGGACACCCAAATCCCTCTGCACACTAACACTATCTAATCTCTCCCCCTCCAGAAAATAATCTGTTTTTCTATTTTTGCTACCTAGGTGAATAACTTCACACTTCCCCACATTAAATTCCATCTGCCACCTACTCGCCCACTCCCCTATCTATATCCCGTTGCAATCTTTTTGCATCATCCTCAGAGCTTACTCTCCCACCGAGTTTAGTGTCATCCGCGAATTTAGATACGTTACATTCAATGTCCTCGTCTGGATCATTGATGTAAATTGTAAATAGCTGAGGCCCAAGCACTGATCCTTGTGGCACTCCACTAGTCACATCCTGCCAATTCGAGAATGACCCGTTTATCCCTACTCTCTGTTTTCTACCCGTTAGCCACTCTTCAATCCATGCTAATATGTTCCCCTTAATCCCATGGACCTTAACCTTGTGCAATAGCCTTTTGTGTGGCACTTTGTCAAATGCCTTTTTAAATTCTAAATAAACTACATCTACTGGTTCCCCCCTATCTAACCTGCAGATACATCTTCAAACACTCTGAAAGATTTGTTAAGCACGACTTCCCTTTTGTAAAGCCATGTTGACTCTGCCTAATCTTGTTATGGTTTTCCAGGAATCCGATAATGATATCCTTAAGTAAGGACTCAAGAATTTTCCCTCCCACTGATGTCAGACTAACTGGTCTATAGTTCCCCATCTTTTCTCTCCCACCCTTCTTAAATAGTGGTGTTACGTTTGCAATCTTCCAATCAATGGGAACCGTTCCAGAATCCAGAGAATTTTGGAAGATCAAAGACAAGCCATCCACTATCTCAGTAGCCACCTCTTTTAAAACCCTAGGATGTAGGCCATCAGGTCCAGGAGATTTATCAGTTTTAAGACCTGACAATTTACCTAAAACCATTTCTTTACTAATATTAATTCCCCCAAGTTGCTCACTAACATTGTCTTCTTGGTTCCCCTCTATTCTTGGTAGGTTTTCAGTGTCTTCTAAGGTGAAGACAGTAGCAAAGTACTTGTTTAATGACTCTGCCATGTCTTTGTCCCCTACTATAATTCCCCCCATCTCTATCTGTAACGGACCCACATTTACCTTTGACAGACTCTTCCTCTTTATATATTTATAAAAACTCTTACAGTCTGTCTTTATGTTCTTCGCTAGTTTGCCCTCATATTCCATTTTCTCCCTCTTAATCACTTTTTTGGTTCTCCTTTGTTGATCCCTAAAGTTCTCCCAATCCTCAGGTTTACTACTCATCTTAGCTGTTTTATAGGCTTCTTCCTTTAACTTTATACTTTCCCCAACTGCTCTAGTTAGCCACGGTTGGGCCACCTTTCCCGTGGAGTTCTTATTCCTCAAAGGAATACGTGCTCGCTGGGAATTTTGCACTATCTCCTTAAACGTCTGCCATTGCTGGTCTACTGTCAAATCCTTAAGTCTAATTTCCCAGTTTATTTTGGCTAAATCCTCTCTCATACCAGCAAAATTGGCTCTACTTAAATTTAAAACCTTTGCTTCGGATTTAACTATTTCTCTCTCTAACTTGATGCTAAATTCCATCGTATTATGATCACTTTGCCCTAGAGGAGCCTTCATTTCCAG